AAAGTCCTCAGTGTCCCCCGCCGGCCATACAACCAACCAGTCATTCACTCCTCCAGGCTGGGTTTGACCTTAGTTTCATTACAGCCACAAAGCATACGAACTGGGAAATCACCTGCATGGCTAGAATAAAGTCTAGCCATGCAGGTTTTAAAAAAAAAGCTATGCAAATAACAAAACAAAAATGTAATAAAATTATTAGGAACAGTGCTAAGGTAGGGGTGTGGTGTTAAGATGACAGATGTCTGTATTTTTTTTTTTTACTTTATAATTTCATAATACATAATATATTATATCAAAATTCTTAGTAAACTGCATATAAAATATTCATTGTATTAAGCATAACGTTCTCAGGAGAATCCATTTTGCGGCTCTGATTATTTGAGAGTTCCCTTAAAAATCAAATCCTGTTCTACCAACTAGCTCTGCAGTTATTTGCTATCAGTGAATCTCTGACTGAATATCCATCAATGCAAAAGAACCGATACATACTGACAGAGAAAGAGAATTAAAAACTTGAAGTAGCATTTCTGAAAGAACAGGCTTGATATCAATGCTGTATTCTAGGACGGAGCAGGAAATCCTCAGCCCTGGGTCTATTATATTTAGCTGTTTGGTCCAGGAAACGGGATAAAAAAAGACAAGCGGTTGTCAGATATTAGTGAGCCTTCTGGGACCAAACAGGGTTTGCACTTTCCCACAGTCTGAGCTGGAAAACACTGGACAGAGGCCTTGACAGCTGGCCCCGCTAAGAACCCTGGGTAATGGACTGCCCACCACAGGAAGGAGAGGTCACAGTGTAAACACACCACTGGCCCAGCACACACAGGCTTGTCTGAATATACCTGAGATCTGTTCATTCCCTACATGACCAATGAATATCTGTATGATCAGCTGGCTGGTCAACTTGACAAATAATGACACTGAAACAAAAGTCATGCGTGTCCCTTTTAGACCTGTTCACTCTGAGTGAATAAATGCAATTTAAAGCTGCAAAGCAGCTCTAATGAATCCACTGTACAATTCCTGCCCTGCGCACCAAACGGCCGATAGCTAAAATTAGTGACTAACTAGTGAACTTAATGGAATATTTAGCTGCTGAAGAGCAGCAGTTGGTAGAAAACATGTATCAGTGTCCAGAAATACAACTGCAAGATGTGTAAACATGCAACTGTTCACCAATATAGTCACCATTTTATCTTTATATGGTAGTAATATGACAAAGCTGTTGGTTTCCAGTAGTTCCTGTTTCATCTTTTTCTCTACCTCCACACTATTGTACTGTTTGGCCTTGTCTTACAACCATCTTTTCTTAATAATTGCCCTTACAATCAGAATTTCTAGAGTAGTTTCAAAAATTCCTCAGAACCAAGAGACTGTGTTATTCCATCCATTCTAAAGGCACCTAATTATAATGATAAACATGGAGACTGCAAACACATTTGTTTCCATTCCTCATGGGGACTTACTGTACAATCATTTCTTGAGGACTTGAAGCTTAACCATAACCACTATTTATCTAACCAAAGGTTAGCCACCCAACCAAGTCGTCATCACCCTAAAATACAGCGATTTACGTGGTAGGAATGACGAGAAAGGCCAAACACCACTTCTTATAAACTGGCTTCGGTCCCTGCAATGCAAGTAATCCCAGGCGCACACGCACACACTTCATTTTATTCCCACAGTGCCCAGAGAATGGGAGTGTGGTGGGAATCTTCCCTTTTTTCTGTGTGCCAGAACAGTCCTATATGCTCGATTAATCTGTCGTGCAGCTAAGAACATAAATGCCTTAGAGTGGGAATTTACCCCCTGCCAACAAATGCTGAAAAATACTGTGTAAGATAATCTTCTCTTAGAGCCATGTCTCTAGTTTTGGAGGGCATATTTTGGTTTCATTAGCAGCTTGGTATCTGAAATGGTCTGAATTCCAGGTACATTTATCAGTTTAACAGCTACAGTGATGGAAGAAAAGCCTTACTTTTTTGTTGAGTTGTACCTCCATCTTGTGGTCTTACTGAGATAATGGCCAGACCTGACAGGAAACAGAGGAGGTGTTTGACTGCCTGACCATCTGCTTTAGGATGCCAAACTGCACCACAACTTTACTGACAATAAATTCTTTGGCGTGTTCAACTCATCTAACTGCCACTAAAGTTTAGTCACAACAGATTTTTAATTTAAGTCACAAACTTCCATATAAGACACTATTCTTCAGAAAAATGTTTTGTTCAAATGTTATAAAAATCATCTAAAACACAGGGATTAATCCCCAGACCCTTGTACTGGCATATTTGTTTCATCAACCAGGAGACATGCACCAGGTCTCCCACAGAGACTATAAGAAATCCAAACAAGAACATCAACTGCAACAAAAGTGTTAAATAAACAATAATAATTGTAAAGACTCATGATAGTTTTGGCCTGAAATGACTTTTCTTCTGCATGTTTTTTCCACTTTCGCCAGCCTGATAATCTCTATTATTACTACTGTCACTAACATATGTGCAAGAAAACAATGATATGGGAATCACGTACACAAAACTGAAGTACTATACAGCAAAATATAACCAAAACCTATGCAACATAGCAGAACCACACAGCTGGGCTGCTGTGCAAAACCACACACCAAGTTCCGACTGCAACTGTTGATTGATTATAATGATCGGTTAATCTGCTGTCAGATCACAAACAAAAGTGCAGATCAGATTTTTCAGAAGCACTCCTTCAAAATTAAAATTCAACTTTGAAGGATAAAAACAACAAATCCTGACATTTGGGCACATTTGGCTTTTCTGCTTGATGACCCTCAGATTATCCTAATCACTTATAACTATTTCAGTTATTGACTAATCTTAAGCGACTGATTCTTTATTCGTGGCAAATCTTTTGGCCTAAGCAACAACCGTAAAACATCTTGCAGCAGCAACAGCATAAAACACAGGAGGTTAGATCTTTCCTACCTGTGCTCCATGATGTCCACGGCGTCTCCTTGACGTCTGTAATACGTGCAGCCCAGCAACAAATCCGTGTAAATGACACATTAAGCGCTCTAAATTCCGCAAGGATTTATATCCGCCATTCCAAAAACGAGGTTTCATCAATAACAGTTCAATGCCGAAGTTTCAACACAATCCTTTTCTACGTGGCCTCGAATCTACCGCTTAGTTTTTAAATAGGAAACCGATTTACGCAGCAGTTCAAACCCCGCCCACCTGCACACCTGGACAAGTACTGCGTAACAACATAGCCCAAAATGACATTTCAGGGTTTCAGTTATGTGCCACAATAACTGCAAGGAATATTTTCTTAGCACACAATGTATATTAAAATGTAAAATTCTGCTTCTAAATGTTTTTAAACTACTGTATTCTCAGTACGTAATTATTATTTGGGTCTATGCATTGAGCTATCTGTAAAATATGCTTTTAAAACCTTCTCAGTGTAAAAACTGAAAGAAAAAGATGTTAAATTTAACACAGTTGACCAGAAACCTTATACATAGCAGAGAAATTATATATTCAAATTTATGTCTTCACATACCATCTGTAAACCAAAAGTTTGCTGGCATATATGTGTGCATTTGGTTTGATGTTATTCGTGTTTGACTACTGTTCATTTCTTAGTGCCAATGCAACAGAATCATGATGCTATAATACAACATGCAGTAATATTTTAGACTATAGTGAAGACCATTCATGTTGCAACATAATAATGCACAAAGGTGTGGATGAAACTGACAGTCCTGCACAGAGCCCTGACCTCACCCCCATCCAGCAACACTGGATGAACTAGACCTTGCCTCCTGCAAATTTCAGTGGAAAACCTGACACCAGGACAGTGGTGGCTGTTACTGGTTTAATGACATGTTTAACACTCACATAAGGGCATAATGTTTGACTGTCCATAGACTTTTACACTATATAACCTGATTTTCTCACAGAAAGTTTTCTTTCCACTTTAAGTCTGTGACGCCTTGCCTTGCTTGAACCTTTGGGGCATGTAAGTAAAGGGCTGAAGAAGGGAAAGAAACTACAGGGGAAATAAACAGGAAGATATATAATGAGCAAAAATACAAACATTTAAAATGGGAAAGGAAAAGGAGTACAGGTAAAGAGAGAGAAAAGGGAGGGATAAGGTAATGTAGAAGATGAACAAGACAGTACCTATCAGAGGAAAGGAGACAGGATTAAAGCAGAACATACAGTAAATGAGGAAAAGTGGTAAACAAGGGAAAGGGGAAACAGGAGACAGAGAGGGAACAGAGCAAGTAAAAGAAAAAAAATGAGGATATAGTGGAGGAAACTTTGTTTTGGATTAATGAAATACTAAAGGGGGGAGCAGCACTGTTTCTGACCACACAGTGTCAGTATTGGAGCACTATAAATGACTTGATGGCAGAGTCATAATGCCTGTGGCTCCTCAGGAGTCAGGACCTCCAAGAACAAGGAGCCTCACACCTTCTACTACAAACCTGCTTGATTTAGTTTTGGCAGCAATTCTGGTTAAATCCACCTTTGCAGACTGTGACCATCTCTCCTCATAGTCCCACAGAGGAACACTGGCTCAACACACACGCTCTTTGTTTCAGCAACTCCATGGTAGACTGTGTTAAACACATTTACACCTGGGGGTACCTGACTGGCCTTTAAGCAGCTCAGGTAGAGTGACTCTCAGTAGGTTTCAGCAGCTTCTGAAAATAATTTTTTTAAAGGAAGGATCCATCCTCTGTTACTCTCATGCCAGGAGATATAATAATCAATTTATGATGTTTGACACAGTCCTTGAGTTATTTTGGGATGAAGTGGTGTGATTCACTTTGTTTTGTAGCTCTGCTTTCCCTCAACCTGCCCTGACTACTTCTACTTTCCTTTAGTGATTATATACAATTCCCAAAATGCACCTTTGCAGAAACCAGATGTGAATATGTTGTATTCAGGTGTGAGCTACATGCATGGTCAGAGAGTTTTTCAAAAACCTGAATCAGCCTGGTCATATAAATAACCACAAGCACCGACATAAAGCATGTGTGTGTTGCAGCAGCAGCAGAGTCCTGAGCTGATCAATAAGTAGCATTAAGGGAGTTTAGTTGTCACTCATCAGTGTCTGACATCTGCAGAGGAGCCTATGATATACTCACTGCCTGACCAACTGGCTGTTTATATGTTTATTTCATTTGCTGTCTGACTGATTATCTGTTTGTCTCACTGACTGTTTGCATGTCTTATAGACTGTGTATCTGTTTAACCATCTGATGAACTGACTAGCTGTGTAATGATTTGTGTTTAATGATCTGTGACCAACTAACTGGTTACCCAACCATTTAATGGACTAACTGACTGATTTAAAAGTCTGTCTATTTCTGAGGCCTGATTGGCTGACTGGCTTATCTTTCCACTGATCTGACCTGATTACTTGACTTGTTGTATATGTGTGCTGCTATCATATCTTAAAATGACCGATTTAGCTAGTAAATACAACAAGGTTGTAGTAGAGGTGGACACCAGAGCAGTTGGGAGCAAAATCACACCAGTCAAAGTGAGCAGGCAGCAGGGGAACAGTGCAACTAGACTGGCAAGTGAGGAGACAGACAAGCACAAAGACAACAACAAAACCCACTGAAGATGCTTCAGACATACAGGCAAACACAAAAGTGTTGATGTGAGAAACAAAGTGGGGCATCCTATACTGTATAACCAGGAAGGTGGGCTCCACCTCTGATGTTGCGCCATCAGTGTGAGGCGTGTTGCTTCAGGGTGCTTCTGATCCACCGCTGAGTTGGAGTGTTAACATTAAGTTCAGTGCAGTCAAAATCACTACAGCTGGCTGTGGGCTCCCTGGCGCAGCTCTGCCAGGAGGCTTCAAAGGCTGCTCTAGCAGCCAAATTTCACTGATGCGTCCGCCTGATAGTCTGAGATTCAAATACTGTATGTGTTTGATTTTGTTTTACACATCTGAAAGAAAAACAAAAAAACATATAGCCATGGGTATTCAAACATTTGAGATATCTTGAGTCAGAAAATCCCTCAGTTCTTGTTTGTACACCATTATAGCTTATTTTAAAGCTTGTGACATTAACGGTTGAGAGAAAACATTCCTCTCCACAATGTCAGTGGTGTGAAGTAAGGAAGTGGTTTTCATACCCATCCAGTCCACACTGTCCTCAGTTGAGTACTGACTGCACATAAAGTACCAATACCATGCGTAACTTAATGGATAGGGCTCGTTATTTGTGGATATTATTAGAAAGAAATAAGGAAATATGGGAAATCAAAAGTGTTTATATCAATCAAAAATGTAAAACCTAAATAGGAAAAAAGTCATTCGTACAAAAGTCCATGGGGGAACTTGTGCTTCTTAAATACAGTTTTCATTGCAACTACAGTAAAACCTAAATATATTTTTTGTTTTTTTAGTCTTAGAGTCACACTGATGCATATCAGCAGCTTAGTAGCATCTTCACACCACTTTCTCTGTACTTTTTACAGGAAGGAAGATTTGCTTATCATCAAGGCTGTAAGCTGTAGTTGTGTGTGTCTTCTTTCAGCAAGAAACACAACAATTTTTGGTTGTTGGAACCTAAAATCCAGGTGAAAATTTGTTAATTGAGCTTTTCATTTAAAAAAAAATCCAGGGATTTTTCTGTGAAAATCTGTTATAGCAAAAAATGATGAGCTTTGTATATGCGACAGTGTGGACCACAGCTAGTTCTGTAACTATTACATCAGTGCTGCAAGACTTCTGATATCCCTCACAGCTGCTTAGTGATGTAGATTTCTAAGAACTTTCTCATCATGGGACATTCTGACCTGACTTGCCTCTGGCTCCTCCCCACCAAATAATCTGTACTTGAAAATGGAGGAAAGGGAGTGAATTTGGAAATTGTCTTTATGATGACACAGTTATCCCTAAAAACTTCATCTGTGAGTTTGCAGACAAAGACATTCACACGTTTTAATAATAAAAGGTATATAGATGTTCAGCTCATTGTTTTGCAGTTATGAGTGAGGCTCCACTCTCATCAACCCAATTTCTAGGTTTTCAATGGAAAATTTACTTTGTGCTATTTGCTCATCACCCAGCAGCAGAGAGGCTGAGTTAGCGTGAATAGATGGAAACAGGGTGAAAATAAACATTTTACTCAATAGGTGGCCAGAAACATGACTCCAAATGAATGCTGATGTTTCTCTATGTCTGCTAGAGGGGTAAATGAGAATGAGTCTATTACATTTAGAGAGTATTACATTAGGCGTAGTTCTATGCTGATAAGGTAGTGCATGAGTCAGCCTAAGTGTTTATTTAGTGAAGGAAATAGTCCGAAGTCAGAAGTCTCTCTCTTGTGTTACTTGTATCTTCAGGAAGAGTTCAGAAAGGCCTTGAGGTCAGTTTTTATTATATTCAAAAAGTACTGTAATCAAATTTAGGATTTGAACCCTGATTATAAAATACAGTAAGCATTTGCACCTAACTGCTTACTACTATAATGATTTATTAGAGTTTATTTTAATACTGTATGTTTCTCCCAAATTGAACTTGGGCACAACTATTTAGAGTGAATTAAAGTGGAAAAAGAAAAGACGCAGAGGGAGGGTGGAGTAGCGCTTATGTACAGTGGGGGAGCTGCTGTTTTCCGAGAGGAAAACACCACAAACCGCAGAGACAGAGGGGATGATGGGGAGTTCGTGTGATAAAGTGGCGTCTGAATTCTAATATCAGAAAGATTTATTTATTTTCCAACAAGGGGAGGGAGAGAAAAGAGCTTTCGAAATTTTAGGGTTGAGTTTTTAGTATTGAGGTACTGTGCTGAGAAATTTCAAGGCCAGACAATCTGGAGAACAACAAATAGAAGAAAAAAAGAGTTCTATTTTTTTCATTAACAATCTTCAAAACAAATTATTTTTTTCAGCAGAGTAAGAAGGGGCTGGAGGGAGGGGGGTAGCTGATTTTTCTTTTTTCTCTGTTTTTCCCTTCTCGCTTTTCTCCATATTTTTCAACAGATGTAAAAATGATTGAAGTCCCAGCAGGCCTCATTACCAGTCCTCTAGAGAGCCGGAGAAGGGCTTAAGGTCTTCAAGTAACGATTGAAACATGATTTGTATTAAAGCCAACGATCTTCCTCGCCAGAGCATCAAATTAGTAAGAACCTCTGGTGAAGCAAGGAAGAGCTATCACCAAAATGTAATTGTCTCCGATGCTGCAGGCCAT